TTGTTGTGTAATGTGTAACGTGAACCACACCGCTAAATTGAACTTGGCCACAAATGCTGGTGATCCAGATATAGGCATGCAACATGAGAGGAGTAGTTAATAGGCGGCATGGCTCAAGAAAGAGGGAGAAGTATGGGACTAGGACAGAGAGAGACAGAGGGGGGAGAGAGAGAGAGAGAGAGAGAGAGAGAGAGAGAGAGAGAGAGAGAGAGAGAGAGAGAGAGGATAGCGGTAGGAGAGAATCCTGTAATTAAATCATCTAATTAATAAAGCTACAGACACTAGCGTTCAAAGAGCCCTATTCAGAAGATTCACCAAATCGCTTGGTGTAATTAAAACGACTACCGCGCCTGGAAAATGTAATTGGCCTCAAAGTAATGCAACATAATTGAAAAACAGCAAAAACGAATGCCTACAAAATTCCATTGAAAAATATCCCCCAAATTTTGGGATATAAAAACTTCATTATTTTTGGTCTGCGTTGTTTCTGAAACGTCATAAATGCTTCACGTATTTTTGGGAGCAATATTTTGGAATCCCGTGAAGTTTGATAGCACTGTGAATTCTGTATTATCTCATTCCAAGAAATGAGTGCCAGCTAAAAAACTACGTCACTAAAACTAAAATAGGATGTCACTCTGACATCATTTCCGGCCGATCTATGGTAGCTGTGATTTTATTTTGACACAAGGTGTCATGTATCGAGGGTACTGAAAGTTACGTGTCGATACGTTCAGCGATCTGGAAAACATTGCGTAAAAAGGGGAGGGGGCTCTGTAGAGCCCCCAGTCATGCGCGGGTTAATATCTACCAATCTCGATAAATCGGTTCTTCGATAGATAGACATAACGCCGAAATATGCATCGCAAAACCCACAACTCCGAAATATAAGCTCTCCTCGTCAAAAGAAAACAGTGAAAAGACCGAGAAGAAGCGCAAACAAATAATAATCTAGAACTCCCAGCCAGCTGTCCACATTATTGTCTTAGCCAAAACAAAACTACAACCCAAAACATCAATATAATGACTGAAAGAAAACGAGAAAAAAAATAAAAAGAAACGCTCTTCTTTTGGGTCGTTGCATAACGATGCGCTCCTCCTCGCGGCTAGTTCTCAGTCTCACGGATAGATGGCGTTGATCAGTGGCGCAGCCAGGGGGGGGTCAGAGGGTCAGCTGACCCCCCCGAAATTTCTGTCAGGGGCCCGCTCGAGAGAAGGAGAGAGAGAGAGAGAGAGAGAGAGAGAGAGAGAGAGAGAGAGAGGGAGGAGAGAGAGAGACCCTAATCTAATCGGACGAGCCCGCTTCGAGAAATGCCTACTGGGACAACACGGGTGAGGGGTCGGCCTGGGCCCCAGGTGGACGGGGCCCGGGCCCCCGGGAGAACGGGCCCGGGCCCCTGGGAGAACGGGCCCGGGCCTCCTTGGTGGATAGGGCCCGGGCCCCCGTGGATGGGTCCGGGCCCCCGGGAGAACGGGCCCCGGGCCCCGGGTGGACGGGGCCCGGACCCCCGGTTGGATGGGGCCCGGGCCCCCGGGAGATTGGAGAACGGACCCGGGCCTCCCGGAGAACGGGCCCGGGCCCCTGGGAGAATGGGCCCGAGCCCCCTGGGTGGATGGGGCCCGGGACCCCGTGGATGGGTCCGGGCCCCCGGGTGGATGTGGCCCCCCCCGAAATTTCTGTCAGGGGCCCGCTCGAGAGAAGGAGAGAGAGAGAGAGAGAGAGAGAGAGAGAGAGAGAGAGAGAGAGAGAGAGAGAGAGAGAGAGAGAGAGAGAGAAGAGAGAGAGAGAGAGAGAGAGAGAGAGAGAGAGAGAGGGAGGGAGGAGAGAGAGAGACCCTAATCTAATCGGACGAGCCCGCTTCGAGAAATGCCTACTGGGACAACACGGGTGAGGGGTCGGCCTGGGCCCCAGGTGGACGGGGCCCGGGCCCCCGGGAGAACGGGCCCCGGGCCCCAGGTGGACGCCGGACCCCGGGTGAATGGGGCCCGGCCCCCGGATGAATGGGGCCCGGGCCCCCTAGTGGACGGGGCCCGGCCCCCCTGGTGGACGGGGCCCGGAGCCCCAGGTGGACGTGGCTCGGGCCCCCGTGTGGATAGGGCCCGGGCCCCTGGTTGAATGGGGCCCGCTAGGGTGACTCGCTTGCTCCCCAAAGCGAATAAGGGGTATTTTCGATCGGTGGGCGTTTGGCTGGTCTTGTGTCCGTGGGTTATGTATCCAATTCGGTTGATTGCTTTTTGACGGCTAAGCATTTTGGTTTGGGAAAAAATATCCATTGCATCGAGGTGCTCGTGTCTGATAAGCATGCATTCTACTATAGAACATGTCATGTGTAGTTTATAACAAAGGTTGACGTAGGTTATTGAAAAATGATAGCGATCGATGAATTACTTTGTAGAGGTTTGCAACATTTATATTTTTAAGAATACTGTTGCTCGTCATGCAAAAGCGATGATTGGATTTTGGACAAAATTAAATGTTCTTTCCAACTATGCCATTTTCAACTGTCAAACGTACCAGGTTATGCAGTAAAACCCATGTAATTAAGTAAGTCATTAACAAATACCATTCTCTCCAGCGATTTGTTCTGCACCTTGTTTTTGATCAATTAGCTGTTCACAATTTTTCCATGAGAGGCGGTACCTTTCTTTTGCCAACAGGCGTTGTTTGAACCCGCTCCGTCAAACAGTCACCCGAAAATAGCATTAAGTCCCAAATCTGTCCGAAACGCAAATTTTCCAGCATAAGTGCCCTCACGGGTGCACGTGGCGCGTGCCATCCCTGCACCGCACACCATTCGATAGTCCTTTCGATTCTCTACACGATACTGTGTTCCCCGTGCCGATTGGGCCCACGGTTACCGAGATACTGCATGGGTACCGGACCAGTGTCTGGCATATTTAGCCATTTTCGCCCGATTTTGCAAGCCGATTTATACATGTAAAGTCCATGACGCGAATTTGCACTTTTTGAGCACGCGCCATGTGCTCGCTATCGATCCGATCGAGCTGAGACCCTCAAAGGCACGTTGCCCATCCTTGATCTATAAGTTGCGCAAATTTCAGCGCACTTGGCGCAACGGTCGGGCCCGTACCCCGCGCTAAGTAACACCATGCCGGGACCACGATAGCAGACAGAATCTACGTCACCACATCACCACGCCACAACAAACCCGGCCCAAGGCAAGAGTATGCATTTAGGCCAGGTCGGGTCAGGTCAGGTCAGGTCAACCAATAGGAGTCCTGCCGGGTATTCGTAGTACCTACGTGTCAGCCGCCTCTGGCAGCTTCGTAACATGTTACGAAGGCACCAAAACTACTTCGTAAATGTTCAAATGGTTGTTAAATTCGGATTCAGCTCCAAAAACTAGCCTGGAAACATGTATAATTCGAAGAAAGTACCGAGGTCATCATAGGTAATGAATGACCTGACCTGACCTTCAGGTGACCTTGACATCCACCCTAATGCATGGGAGCAGCATCAACTCACTGTTGTTTGAATGCTTGAAACCACGAAAGACTGCAAACGCGCGGCTAATGCGAGCCGGCATACGCCGAATCGCGATTCTGGCCAAACATGGTCTCGGAAAGTAGGTCACAGGTCAAAGGTCATTTGGGTCAGGGTCATGAAATTTCTAGGGTAGGGTAGAACTGATCAACGCGAGGGTACTGAAAGTTTGGTCGTGATCGGCTGCTTCTTACGCGAGTTATTTGCGAAAACCCTTAGGGGGTTGCATCATCCCCTCCCCTGTGCCGGCGAGGGTTAAAACTTCTTGTGAGCGAATTCACGTAATGAAGAAGAATAAATCACAATCTACTACAGCAGCCAATAGATGACTTAGGAGTTAGGACAGGCACATGGGACTGCTTAAATCTTGTCCGACAGAAGCAGGCAACAGTTCCGTTTGCATATATGCTATGCATATTGCGGAAGGGGCACATTTCGCCCTCGAAAGATACGAATTCTTACGTCATAGTAACATATTTCTGTCATGGTCAATTCGCGTAGAAATTGAACACTGGGTGATTACCGAGCTATTGTTCTATCAAAATTTTCCGATTCAAACTCGCTCAGGGTTATCGTACAGGTAAAGGGGGCCCGCTCAGCAGAATGCGTATGTAATATGGAAAGATTCTGAAAAATGGGTGGGGGGCCCGCACACTAGGGGGCCCGCTTTGGAGGCGATGACCCCCCCGAAACGAAATCCTGGCTGCGCCACTGGCGTTGATTACAGCCGCCTGAAGGTATACTGTGCCGCACGACCTATACGCACTGCGGGCACTCTATGTATAGCTCCATAGCACTCTACGGATCGTAATACGTAATCCATAGTGGCGCCATGAATCGTAATACGTTATCCATAGCGGCGCCATGGATCGTAATACGTTATCCATAGCGGCGCCATGGACTGCCGAAGGCAAGAGAATGACCAATCGTAGATTCGCACCATAAACAGCTAGCTGGGTAAATGCCCATATGTGTGCCAATATGCAGCAGGAGATACACACAAATTGGCGCTGCCAAATATCCATAAAACGGTATAATGAAATAATTACCAACCAAACCGTCTCCAAGGAACAAATAAGGGGTCACGGAACAAGACACGCCCATGTAAAACAAAGCCAGAATGGTATCTGGTGGAACATCGAATATCATTTCCATCTCTTTGAAGAGCGGACACTCCATGGAACAGCGATTAACCATCTTCTGAAGCAGTGGGTACCTACGCATTATATTAGGCAGAGAAACTCACTGGAATATGTAGGTACTGGTACTCATACAAAAGAAAAAGATGTTTCTCTCGTAAGAGCAAGGATCGCTCACTGTATAAAAGTGAGGTACTCACTAAAAAGGGTACTCGTACTTATAAGACTAACTAGCAGCAGGCCCCCCCTACTGGGCAGCAATCGCCATGCAATAGGAGTATGTGGATCAGTCATGATTGTACAATACAATACAATACAGTACACAGTAGCTCACTAAATAAAGCACCGGTACTCACTGGAAAAGGTACGGTCCCGTTTCTATAGAGCAGCGTGTCGGGCTCTGCGGAGTGAGCTTCCTGAACAACATCTTGGCCTGGTTCTGGTAGTCCAAAATGTTCCGACCGGTCTGAAAACGAACATAATCGTCAGCGAGTGAGCTCAGTAAGAGTCAATAAGCAGAACTAGATCCTAGAGTTACGAGAAACTTTTCTTTGCATCAGTCGCAAATGGTAAGAAGAGGTTAAAATTGCTATTTTCAAAATAAGGAGACTTCGGGTACATATACGAAACGAAAAATATAATAGACAGCGCTTGTATTTTGATCAGAGCTTGCGATTAGCTGTCACAGCCAACACCCAAAGCGATATTCACTATTCTGGGTCGTATGACGCTCTCATTAAACTAGCGCCAATCGCAGACGCCATCAAAGGAGCCGGAACTCTGGAATATTCAGAGTTTTGCATCTATGTAGAGCTCACTAAAACGAAACGTGCTAATGAAATCTTTGTTTCACTCGCAGACATGAAAGAGCACTCAGACCCGTTGGATAATCCATAAGCTTATAGCCGAGATGCTTGACGAGGAATTTTTGCCGACATTGGTGAAGGAAGACAGAATATTGAAACAGCAAACACGAAAGGAAAGTCGTAGGGAAAAATTTATACAAAACGGTATATTTATAATACGAACGAGTAACGAGAATGACAACGGGACACTGCAATCGAAGTTTAGCTCAACTGCAAACAAAGCAGCAGTTACACGCTACTACGCAAGACGCCCGAATGGCTGAGCTGAAAAGTCTAGCAGCGTCCCATTATTCCACATTCCCTATCTCGGAGGAGAGTTTTAGCCGATCTCATTAAAACCCCGGCAGAGTGACCGGTAAGATGAAGACAAAAACATGGTTTAATTACAACGAATAGCTATCTTACGGCATCCTGCTTCCTAATACTGGGATCGTCGAATTCTGATGAAAAACAAACTCACTTCCATTTAGTTCCGTAAAAAATAGCGAAAGTTTTTTTTTTAAAGAAAAGCGAAGGGAAAGTCGTAGGAGCCATTCCATCGAAAATTTTCCAGCCAAGTTGGTAATCGACACAAAACAGCGGCTTAAGATGGTGAACATGGTCTCAGCGCAAAACATAACCCTGGGGCTTAACGAGCCATAAACAAGGCTGCGCCGATGGGTCCGAGCAATGCTGTCGCATTTACGAAAATAAACCGGCACTGCCAGCGTTGCCAGCTTTCAGGCTTTCGACACTAAAAAAATATGATACCCCACGCATTTACAAGATAGGATGGGTAGAGCTGTTACACGCAGAATCGCGTCACTCTGTCCGGCATACACTAGGAACATTGGGATGGTCAGACAAATCTGAAAGAGCTGACGAACGAACGAACAGGGCAACTACAGCGTGAGCCCGAGTAAGTTTGGAAAGAGCAAAACTAGCATTGAAACGTCCACACAAAATTTTACGGATGTTGTAGCAAACGAAAATTCAGTCAGGTCATATCGTTAGTTGTCATACGGATTTTTTTATCTATCTATTTTTATCTATCTATTTTCTATCTATGGAAAACAGAATTCTGCAAAATACACAAAATGTAAATACGAATCACCCTCAGCATCTAGTGGGCGGGATGTGATTACCCTCGCCCCTGCTTAACCAACAACGGACAATGGGCTGGAGTGTACGACAATCCGGCTCTGGGGGTACGACAGTTCATTAACAACGGGCCAAGATGGAAACTGTCGATAGGAGATGGCCGCTGGAATACATCATTCATTTACATTCATTCGTTCAACCATTCAGTCATCAACAGGTAGTTTTACATCATTATTTTTAATAAACCTTATATAATATTTCTTGTGGACATTTCGGCAGCTTTCACTGTAAGAAACGGGACCGGCAGGTAGCCTGTCGCTCATTTCCCACGACCTACACCAACTTCAAACCTATCACACACAATGGCGCCATACATTCATTAACGTCGTCCATAATTCACCATTATTATTCATTTTCTGCTTCATATGCAGTCCAAGTCGCTAAGGCCATCCGACATGCCGTCAAGAAGTGAGTTAACTTCTGTTGCGGTCCGCGCCAAGACCAAGAGACACCCGCCTCGGTTTGCGGTCCCCAAACAATAAATCCAGACAAGTCCCTCATCACCATCGCGTTCGAACGCATATGTTTTCCAGACGCGCGCGAAAACACGAAAACAGCCCCGTTTTCATATTTCAGCCACATTTATAACCACCGGCGGCGGGGGGGGGGGGGGGGCAAAGGGAATTGGCGCGCGTGGCGCGGGTGGCGCGTGCCAGGGCGACGCGCGGTTTTGTACCGCCACCCCAGTCCTGCGCGCTTCTAAATATGTATATAGGGGACGTCGCGATACGGAAAGAAGTGCATAGGACGTCCCAAGACGAATACGACACACAGACCATCGCGCAGTCCGGGGTTTGAAAAAAAAAACGGAGGCGCGACAAACAGTCGAGGCGAGATGATGAGGGCAATAGAGCCAAATGGAGGGAAACACCTCCGGGAGAGGCCCGTGCTGCGGCAAAGTGATAGAGCACCCGAGCTGCTCAGTGCTCAGTGCCCAGTGCCCACTCGATGGAAAACGTAAACAAGTCTCTTTTTGAGAACAAAATGCTATTTTAAAAAGTTGCATGGAGGAGACGGTGTTGATCAGACGATAAGCGGTTCTAAGCTCGCAAACATGCTGTGTGTCCGATTTGTCTTGTGGCAAGACACTGCAGTCTGTGAGCTTGTCGATAAGCAGTTGGCAGTTTGTAGTTTGTACGATATTGAGCAGTGTTCGGTCTCGGAATGAGCTTATCGAAATGGATTCGCTGAAGTATGCAGACACGACTGATCTGCCTTTAACCCGCGCACCGACGGGGGTCTGCGCCAACTTAGTACCGACGGGGGGGGGGGGGCGGATGACCGCCCCCCCCCTGAGATCTCGAGAACGAAGCAAGATAGTGACAAGCGGTAAACGGCATCGGATACGCACGGACAAGGTCTACAATTTTTACTAAGGTCATTTTCAGGTCAGGTCAAAGATGACGTCACAGGGGTCGAAAAAGTCAAAATGGCGGCGCTAGATATGGAGAGGGTTTTTCTCGAATAACTTTCGAAGTAGTCAAGATAGGAACAAACTAAGGGCATCATCGTGATCCTCTCGTCAATCCGCATCGAATGATATATATGTTGACCTCGAAAGGTCAAGGTCAAAGGTTGACCTCAGGTCACGTGACCTCGAGGTCATCATGTATATCATTCGATGCGTCTTGACGAGCTGAACACAATGAGACCATCCGCGCGGCTGTATCTTGTTCCTGTAAGGAGTTATTGGCAAAAAACCTTTGGTGACCTTTGATGACGTCACATGACCTTACAGCTGCCCAACAGCAAAACAGACCTCAAGGTAGTGAAGGTTGATCGTATGTGAAGTCATGTATGGTATATGGGGCCATTCCGACCCGTTTTAGTGGTAAAAACAGGGAGTTGATTTTTCCCCCATTGACTTATAATGGGGAGGTCGCGAAATTGACCTGACCTTAGGTCACCGACATCAAAATTCCGAGATATACAAATTGTAGCTACTAATGACCTAATAACATCCTGCGACTTTCAAAGGCCTCCGACATCTACTGTAGCTCTGGCACGGTGACAAAGTTGCAAAAAAGTGACTTGAGGTTGGGTCATTCAAAGTGACCTGGTGACCTGACCTTAAAAGTTAGGAGGTTCAAACTTGCACACCATGTGTAAAATTGATGAGAGAATAGTCATACCAAATTTCGTGCCGCGGTTTTCCCGCTATCCGCGAAAAACCTCAGGGGGGGGGGGGCGGATATCCGCCCCCCCCCGTCGGTGCGCGGGTTAAGGCATTTCGGCAGAGCAGCTGCACGTGAACTATGGTTGAAGTTAGGAAAGCGTGGGACCAGATCGACTAGATAATGTATCAAAGGAATCCGGCATCGGGTCCAATAAGTCACTAATAGGCTGTCAGATGTCGGACTACATCGCGGTAGAATGCAATACAAAACGCCGTAGCCCGGCGCACTAAATAATGTTTCAGACTTCACTTCATTTACCAGAACCAAGCTTCTGGCCAGCCGATACCATATGGCTGCGGCAAAAGTGCATCCAAATTTCTGAAATGGCAACAGAAGAGTCTGCTTGTGCTTTTGCTAGTTGGGTACGGTTGAGTTCCATCCAATAATCCCATTTGGTATTAACCATTTTTCGACAAGGCTGAATGCTTGAATTTAAAGGGACCCTCCCACCTTCAAAAAAGTTAATGAATTGGCATAAAAGTGATGTCCCTTGGTTCAGAAAGAGCGGAAACGAATATCTACCAAATTTCACCGAAAAATATTCACTGGTTTTCAAGATATTAGGCTTTTACTTTTGTTTACTTTTTGGGATCTCCCCTGTTACTAGCGACTTTATTTGGAAGCAATAATTTGGCAGCCTTAAAATGCGGCAGACGTTGCGCGCAAAGCAGCGTATACCACCACGTGTTAACGATGGTTTTAGTCTAAGATTTAAAAATAGCTAGATCTCCGCTGACGTCACAAATTCTAAGGGGGCATTCCAATGCATTAGCCCCTTAGAATCCGAAAACTGCAAGTTTGAAATTCCATATCTTCGAATTAAAGCATTTTTCGATGCTGTGAGTGCCCAAACCGGTATTTGCAGGCCATGGCCACCAATTTGGCTATCTCAACTCAAAACTAATGTTAAGGTGGGAGGGTCCCTTTAAGCGACGAGTAATAACAACCAATCATCATTTTCAGTGCAAAAATAATTATATAATAAGGCACAATCAGTTGCGACGTAGAAATCCTAGATATGCCATAGCCATGCATACTGTGCGACATCTATATCTGCTTCTGAACGGCTACAGCGCTACCTAGCGTCGAGCGATCACCCGACAAACTTTGTCGGAGCAGTGACACTCAACTGACCGGAGCTGCAGCGCCTGGCCGTCTCCGCTGTCGGGGCGTTGTAGCCATCTAACGTTCACACACGCCTTTTTCGGGCGATTCAAATGGCAGAATACCTTCGTTAGACCACAAAGTGTGCTTCAATATACTTTTTTGTTGTATATGTGATGTTTTTTGCGATGAATTGTAGTGATTTGCGTGTGATCACAAAATTTTGAAAATCCGAAATAGCAGTACCTATTTTAGCACCGTCTTTTCTCTACACGACCATATAAAGAAGTTCGAAATTCCTCGTTAACTGTAGCTTTTGTCAGCGTTTCAAGATTGCGTATTATTTGGCACAATTTTGCTACAACATGACCTCAGTTTGACCTCAATAACTTCAAACCTAAGATGACCTATGACGGCGCGCGTTTTCTCGCTATTCAAGAGAACCACATGGGTGGGCAAAATGCCCCCCCCCCCTCATCAGGGCGCAGGTTAAACACACAGATGCTTGACATGCCATGCCTCCACCCGCGGCGCGGATATGGGTATGGAAGACCTTGTTGAACATCGCTGAGCGTTGTGAAGTAGGTACCTTATCCTGCCCACTGCGGGATCGACGGGAATGAGAGCGCAGACGACCACCTGGCGGAACAAGCGGCCGCCCTGCCCACGGACGCGAACTCGCTGACCTGGGCGGTTCATTGTGCAGCCTCCATTAATGGCGCGCTAGCTGGTCCGAGTCACTATTCATGCCACTCCTCGGGAGCGCGCCGCCGCTCCCTATCCCCGGGGAGGACCGAGAGGACGCCGACTCGGTGCACCAGCTGAGGGCGGGCCACTGGGGCCGCTCACTCCAGTACGTGCACCGAATCGGCCGTCTCCCCTCCGCGGCGTGACAGCAGTGCCCGGACAAGCGGTGCCCCGCGACGCGCTGTGCCATGTGCCGGGAAAAGGCTGGTGTGCCCGAATGTGTGCTGCTCCGCTGCCCGGCCCTCGTTGGCGCCCTGAGTGGAGGTGTGCCCAGTGAGTGTCAATTAGTTCACTGTATCCGCACAGACGACAGAACATGGCAAGTGATTCTAGTCATTTATGACCTTGACTGGTAATGCATTTCACTGTATCTAGGTGTCAGTTTGGAGTTTAATAAAACACCACAGATGTCTCCCTGTATCCCAGGCCGTGTGTATGTCGGAGAAGTCCTCCGGATTCAGGTTCAGCCATGCAGCGCTCCTATAGGTATTTGGATATGCCGGTGAGGCTCATTTTTTACGTGTAATAAAATCGATATGAGCTCACAAACCTATCCGGCCATAGCTGTCTATGGAAAGGTCATCTTATGATGATTGTGTTTACAATAACTGTAGGCGTCGGACGTGATGTGCATTTATTAAAAGAGCCCGTGAAAGGCGTCAGTGAAATCGTTCCCAAGTTAGGGTACACTGTTCCCATAAGAAACACTGGCAGTGCCATGAAAGCGTTCCCAAATTAGGGCATGCAGCCCGGGTGGTGGACTGGTTTAGAAACAGGGGAACTATTTGAAACTATGCTGGGCTTTACAATATCAAACTTTCCCAATAATATTGAGACAAATATAAGGCGGCTCATGATCATTGTATATTTTTAGGATGCCACTTAACAGTTCTCCTTCTTGTTTGAAATAATGCCTACATAGCATTCCCATATTTGGGTTTTTTGTTCCCAGAAAGTGCATTCCCGAAAATGGGCATGGAGCATGCTTGAACAAAGTTCAGCTTAATCTTTTAGAAACATTTTAATGCAAATGGGAAAGAGACTTGTGCAAATTGTGCATGGGCCTAAATGGTTGAAACAGTTAAAATTTCACACAAATAAGCTTCCAATTTCGGCACCAATTGTGCTCAGAATTCAGTGTCAAATCACTGGTGCAAAATTTTGACACACGAGACTGAGAGTCCCAACTCCAAGGCATCTGGTGTCTGGCGCAGTGCATGGATTTATCAGGGGCGCTGGAACTACGTTCAGACTGGGGGGGGGGGCACACTATAATAGAGATCAGCCTAGGTTACCCTCAAATCTAGCTTTCTCATCGGTTTTAGGCCACTTATTTTTCATCCCTTGGCTTTTTCAACAAAAAAGAAAACATTTGAAAAAAAGTGTGGTATTCCGTCTCAATACTGTGGGGGCAACGCCCCCACGGCCCCAGAGACCAGAGTTGGGGGGAGGGCAAGCTGCCCCCACTGCCCCCGGCTCCCGCGCCTATGGGATTTATCCAGCCTGGCATCAAATAAAGAATGATAAAATTTGACCAACCTGCTCATCCTCCTGGATGGATGCTGCAAGCGGCAACCCATCAGCAACTCTTGCAATCATTGTCATAAGAACCATGTTGTTCGACAAATTGAAACTTGAGAGCTTCAATTTCGATCCTGTGTCCCTTGGGACAGTTCGAGCTTACTGATCGAAACTTCTCACAGTCCTCAAAAGAGAAAGCAGTATTCACATTTCCAGGAAACAGATGGTATATATGAGAAAAAACGATTTTTTCGTCAGCTTCTCTCCACTGAAATAAACAATTTTTTATCAAAACAATTGCCACATATGTAACATACGCGCCAAATAGCAGTAGATTCATTTACGTGATTTCAGCTGATGTGGCTTTATGGATTGTATTTATAAATGTGATATTCTTCACCTATCCTTTAAGACTGTTAATTTCTTAAATATGATTTTATTTTTTAGGTTCGTTGTAATTGTTTCAAGCCTATCAAGCATTTTTGGATGAATTTAAATAAACAACAAATTACGAAAACAGTTTAAAAGGTTCCAAATTAGAGATGGTCATATTTTAGTACTTGTTATTGATAGCAGATCGTTGAGAATTGATTTTTTTTTTTGGTTGTGTAAGAAATACAAAAAATAAAGGCATGTCGCAAATAGCTGCTGAAATGCATCTTGATTGATATTTGTGTGATTTGTTTCATCTTTTTCCTTTAAAGGAAATAGTTCACATTTTAACATGGGTTTTGAACTGGAATAGCAGTTCCGTAGCTTGGGCTGAGACAAGCATAAATCGGGAGCTTTTACAGCCCAACGATCACCCTAGGCAAAGATATTCTATTTCTCGTCCCGAAAAATGTGTCTTGCGTTGAGGATGTGTGCCTTGCATATATTCGCATCCAGTATGAAACGAGCATGGGTCCCGAAAATTATTCAGAAACTAGAGCAATTATCTACGAGAACTCTAGAGAAATTCGCTCCAGTGAGGCGCAAAGGGCGCTCCAGTAACAAAAGCACGAGCAGATCGCCCAAATGCCGGTGGCCGCGATAATTTTTCTAGTTTCTGAAGAATTTTCGGGACCCATGCTCTTTTCATACTGGATCGCGTGTGCCTTACAGAAACTGAAAAGTTCTTCCTATATCAAAAATATAGAAAATAATCTTTTGTTGTAAAAAGGTTTTATTTTCTTTGCTGATCATTTTGAACATAAAAATCACAAATCTATTGCAATAAAAATAATTTCGTGAAAGTGAACTATTTCCTTTAAAGTGAATTTGAAGTCCAACTGGTTTCGATTTCAGGCGCTCTAATTTTTCTTTTTTATTTGTAACTGACTATGCTTCCAAGAAGAATTTATTCGCATATAAGAAATGAAGTAAGGTTGCCTATGTTACGTGTTTTCATATTTGATAGGATTTTTTCTTTCAAAGTACAAATGGTCGCTGAATAAAATAAGTATTGTCCCACATTTCGCCTCGTCAATTGTCTCAGCGCGCCGTTTATGTACCGGTGACCGGTGTTGTAGTCTGTAGAGAATTTACACAGGATTATCATATTTGTGAACCATATGGTGTAATTAAAGTAATTGATGAGGTCGTTGAATCTGTAGACCTGTCTGGCGTTTCTTCTCGTCAATGAGGTGAGCTCGAGTCTTCGTTTCTTAAGGTTCAAAAAGTAATTGTTTGGTCAAGCTGCTTGGCCCATTCCGATTATAAACACTTCCAGATACCTACATGTTTCGTTTCAATCCTACCTATATTTTTGTGTAAAATGCTTTGTAGTTGTAGGCTTATTCAAAACTTCATTTACTATTGTTGTCAAAAATGCATGCTTACCTTGTGGTCTTTCAGTTTTTTTTTTTTACTCGGGTGTTGCAGTATTGCCTATCAGTGTGCTGATAGGTACCTACCTACCACACTTTCTTGTGGCTTTGCATGATCGTTGTGCAGCTCACTCATAATTTAAGTTACAAAATCAAGGAATCATTGAATCTGCTCATGCTAGCAAGTACCTAACCAATATCTTAGTATTCCATTTCCGGTTCACAAGAAAACAAGCAGGAGTAATGGGTAGAAATTTTACCGGCATCTCACAATTCGCACGGTTAAGCTGAGTGTATGCAATACCTAGTCTAACATTTTGATAAAAAGTATTGGCTTAATGAATAAGTTGCAATTGCTCCTACATTTTCATTCAAACTTTTGCATTATGTCTCATGCTATTCCTGTCATGTGTGTTATAATGATACTTAGGTACCTACCAGCACCTACCTATGTTGGTACATTGCATTGGAAGAATCTGAATAATATGCTGGTGATACTAAAAAGGATAAAAGTTTACTGGGGTTAAGTTGTGCTTTCTAATTTATATATAATGTTTTTGTTGATGCATGTATCTGATGAATCCATAACTGAACTCTTATGGATACAACATTAATTCATAATGGCCAGGCCTGGGATAAGAGAAGTTTGATAGGTATTCCTGTTGGATATTTGGTCATGGTCTCATTATTGTTCTACTATGATGTTTTATTTATTGTTACTTTTTATTTCAGATAGCCTGACATGTACAGAAACACTGGACAGCATGGGCACAACCGAATGCCTATCAGAAGTAAGTAGCTACCAAATAGGTATTCATGAGAATTTGCATTTACTTTGGTTTGAGAAGTGTCGCACATCAGAGTTTAGAATTCAGTTGATCTATTTGCCTGCCTGGTTGGTTTCTCACTGGCTATTAGGATGAAGCTTAAAACTTGTGATGTTAGAAATGCAATGGGGCTTGGTGGAAGGTGACTTGATCTGCAACTTATGCATTGAAACATGTTCTTAGTGAGCTTCATTTATTTTTCAGATAAGCCATCACCAGTGTGGGATGCGGGAGCCCAGAATGTGAAGGTGTTCACACCAGATAGTGCATCAGCTCAGCATGTAAGTTCTGCTATTGTTCACAGCTATGATTTATCCTAATATGTGTTTGTTCACCATAAAAATACATTGGTTGTTTGGGCAGGGTTACCTTCAGTCTAGCAATGTTGCATAGGGAATTTGGTTTCGCAGCAAGTGAATCCTATTTTATTTTACATTACAGCACTTGACAACCATTTTATTCACATTAAGTGTGTATGCTAATATCTCTGCTATTGAATTGTTTCGTTTGAGAACAGAATGTCTATGTCAGTCACTAATGGATGTGTGTTTGTTACAGGGGGAGAGCCAGTGGGATTGGAATTCCACCGGCTGGGACGCTGCGCCCGTCACTCCAGTGTCCGCGCCTCCCACCAGCCACGCTCCCCCGCAGCACTTTCCGCCTGCGTCGGCCGGATACGCCCCTCCCGCGAGCTCCGGCCCTGGCTTCCCTCCCAGCCACCAGTCGGCGGTGCCGGACCCGCCACCGGCGCCACACCAGCCGAGTATGAACTACCCCCCGCCGGCGGGAGCGGCCTCTGTGGGCGCTCATCCGACGGCCGGCGCGGAGCCCTTCCCGGCCCACCCGGCGGCCAGCAGACCCCCCGCCAACATGGCCCGAGCTAGTGGTCCACCGGCCAACGCCGCCCGGACCGGCTACCCACCGCCGCCGGCCAGCTACCCGCCCGAGGTGCCTTACTCCGCGCCCGGTCAGCCGCCGGGCACCTTCCCTGGCGCCCCGCCGCCGGCGAACGCGGCGCATGTGTCACATCCGCCGCCGCAGGCAGCGCCGGATAGGTACCCGGGAGCGCCGCATACGCCGTACACCGCGCACGATGTGACTGGTGATCAGTTTGGCGCTCAGACGGGACACGCCCCTGATCAGTCGAGCTACCCGCCGGCCAGTGTTGCGGCGGAACCCTACTCCAACGAGGGGTACACGGGAGCGGAACAGTACCCGCCGAACAGTCACGGCTATCTCCCCCCGGCCGGAGAGGGATACCCTCCGGCTGGCGGTGCCCCGGGCGAGCCTTACTCAACGAATCTGGACGCGCCTCCCGCGGGAGAGTACGGAGGTTACGGTGCGCAGAACGGTGGTGACTGGGGATGGGACAGCGGGTGGGGCGAGCAGCCGGCTTACAATGCTGCTGAGGCGCAACAAGAGCCGCTACCCCCGCCCGCTGCCGGTCCTGGCGCGGGGCAGCAGCTCGGAGCGCCGGGACAGCATCCTGGACAGTCGGGGCCGCATCAGGGACCAACAGGACCACACGCTGGTCCGCCTGGTCCGCCCGGTCCCCTGGGACCTCACCCGGCGCCTCCGACCGAAGACCCGTACTCTAGCGACGGTTGGGGCTGGGGTGACGAGCCCGGTCCGTCCCCTGCCGCCGCCGCCCAGCCGACTCCCTCAGCGGGAGCGGAGGAGGATCTGGGCACTGTGGGGGTGTTTTTCGGTGGAGGGGACGACGACGGGTCACAGGTGGAGGCTGTGACGGCCGGTGTGGCGCACTTGCAGATGAACGGGGAGGCCGAGCCGACGCACAACGGTGAGTAGAGAAACTGGGAGGGTGGTCAGGGCATAAGATAGGGAGGGAAGCACGGTAGCTGGAGGGAGAGGTGAATGACTCACACGGGATAGAGGGAGGGGAGGTGGCTATTGAACAGAGGATGAACGAAAGTGGATGATATGCTGGGATTGAATAGGGGAATGAATGTGAAAGGTGTGAATGAGGTACTCGTCTCGGGAGAATCTACCTGCGCTCTGGTATGAATGCTAAGAGTTCTGCTATTTATGTTGGTATCACGGCAGTTGTGAACCGTTTGAATCGTACGGAACGACAGATGCTTGCAGGCTAGCTGTGGGGTATCCATTTTGGGTACCTATTTGTTCGGTGCGAACGTAATAGCTATTTGTCAGTAGCAAAAGGTTATAATGTTTTTGGTATCCCCGGTCCTGGCAGCGAGTGACATTTGAAGACACCAAATGGAAAGTCAAATATTTACTTGGGAAAATATTTCGGTTTAGAAGTTAGAACATCCGATTTTGAGCCATCTCGAACCAACCGTTTTGTCACATATTTCAAACATCCCACCATCTTTGTCCACCCAGCTCGAGCGTTTCATAAAGCAGAAATAACTACGTCGCGGTCTAAATGCAGTGGTCTGTATTGTCGCCTGGCAGCGGCGCCTACACTCGCCGTGGACATTATGAGGCGGCCGCAGTGGCTGCCCGTGGCACATGACGGGCCCGGTCGATAGAACAGAATGTAGATGGAAGTGGGTGGGCTGATGGTTGTCTGGGCGACACTGTTAGACGCGGCAACAAGTCAGGATGGCCTCTTAACGACGGGGAAATGGTAATGGTAACGAGGGTTGGTCTTGATCTTTAGTCGTGGAAAAGTGGAGACTGATGGTTCTCATTGATGCAGTTTCAACCGGTAAATGGTGAAGCTGAGTAGGCATCGGTCATCGGATTTTGTTTCTATGGTCCACGCCAAAATGGCATGCGTCTTTGAATGTAGCTGCCAATTGTCGGCACATGTCCACGAGGTTAAATCTAATGGATTTAGCTCATCCGGATTCCACTCTGTTTTTAAATCTTTACACTCGTATTACCATGGAGATGCTGCAGAAGCAAAATGTTAAACCTTCCCGAATTTGTAGCACGAACAAAACCCAACCCGCACAAACCAGTAAAACATTAAAACTGCAAAGTATGTCCCTGTTCTCCGTATTGCCTCTCCGGGCCAATTCGACACCCCTAGCCAGGGCAGGAAGCGACTAACGAAGCCGTATGAGCGACCCACCAGCCGCTCCGGCGGCGCAGACACCGTCTGACTGTGGGGTTTGTGCCTGACCTCGTGAACCCTGGTGCGAGTCCCTGTGGTGATGTCTGACCTCTGGTGCTCTCAGTGGTGTAAGTGGTGAGGGTGATAGTGTCTGTGGTGAAGCATGTGTCACATTGTGTCAGTGTTAGGTGGAGTTGTGATGCTGTCAACGTCGGAAGGATGTGGGTGGTGTCAGTGTGTCTGTTGGGTCAGTATGTCTGTGTGTGTCAGTATGTTTGTGTTGTCTTTGAGTCGGCTCCCTGAAGGATTGCGTCAGTGTGTCAGTTGCCCGCAGGAGTGGTGTCAAATATTCGAAGGTGTTTTGTAGTTTGTCGGCGCCCGGGAAAATTGTGTCAACAGTTCGAGAAATTTATTAGAGTCTGCAGCAAAAGTGGTAGAAGTGCGATGAAATCTACCAAATTCAAAAGGAGATGAACGGGTTTCAAAGATGGTGATTCTCCCTTTAAAACGTTTCGGG